TTTCGGTGTTCATGCAGGGTCTTGCGGATGGTCCCGTCAAGACTCACCTGTTCCGGCTTGAACTAGATTCACTAGAACAAGCCATTTCAGTTGCGGAGCAGGAAGACTTCAGTCTGAGACAGGCTCGCGCCAGCTCGACATCATATCGTCAACCGAGACGATATGACAACGGAGAGGTCCAGAGCCGATGGAACTCTGTTATGTAGAGAGCGAGAAGGCTCGCTCTACAGGCTACAAGAAGTTGCAGAGATGCAACAGATGTCAAAAGACAGGACACTACGCTTACGAGTGTAGTGCCCCTCGTCCAGTGTCTCGCGACACTGGGCGTAGTGACCGTCCACCCATGAGAAAGGGGCAGGGACGAGGGTCCGCAGTTGGTGCAAAGACGCAACAACGGGATGGACCGTCAAAAAACGGACAGGATCAGTAGGTGCGGAGCACCCTACTGATCCAGCAACGTCAAGAGAATTTGTAGGCCTCTTGATGAAGGTTGCTCCCAACACACAGACATTGTGCGTTGCTGCTCTAGGTAATGAGATCTCACTCATTACCTTGAAACTCGAAGTGACGAATAAGTTGTCCCTTCGAGCTCTAGTCGATTGTGGGGCGTCCAACAATTTTGTGCGACGCCAATCGCTAGAAGATGGTCACTTTAAATTCAGTGAATGTGACACACCTCCTACGAGGATGACGGTACGTCTTGCGACAGGCGCATCCGTAACCGTCATGAAGCGTATAGTGAAGATTCACTATACGCTAGAAGATACCCAATACGACGATGACTTTATCGTATTGGATTTGGATGACAAATTTGATGTCATCCTTGGAATACCGTGGCTCAGAAGGTACGAACCACGGGTAAACTGGCAACATCGGACAGTAACGATGCCTGCCGCTTGTTCATCAGATGGCCATCTGATGAACGTTTTGGAAAGTCCACAAGCGTGTGGATGTACTACGAGTGAGTGCGATGGCCTCACTTGTGGTACGGTCGTTAGTACGACTGCACAAAACCTTAGTGTACCAAACGGTTACACTTCGGAGCAAAGTTCCGGCGGCTGTGAGGAAACACAGGCTGCGCCGAAGGTCCACCACTCGAATAAGTCGGGTGGACTGGGACAAAGATGTATCCCTAGGGGGAACATCTAGAAGAGAAACAATCGATCGCTCAGGTTAAGCGAAACGATAATCCTAGATCGACTGGAGAGTCTTTCGTAGAGGATCTCGCTGTGGTTGCGCAACCCCAGCTAGAGGAAGTAAAGGGAATAAGTCCCAAGATTACAAATACGGCGGAAATAAGTTCCCCGAAACCCGCGGGAATAAGTCCCCGGGAAGACGAAGGAATAAGTCCTTCGAAGCCTGAGGGAATAAGTCCCCAGGAAATGACAGAGACATTGAATGTCATAGTCAATAACGGATCATGTGTAGGCGCTTATACACTTGATCTGATTGCGCCTCCGAAGTTAACTTCGGAGATCACTCAGTTGCCAACGCTCGAACATAAAAGGTTCTTGCGTGATCTGCGTAGTGGCAAAGTCAAGCAGATCTGCATACTCGTCGCTGACGACGAGTATGTAACCGACATAAGGTCAGCAACAGTGTTTACTGAGAACGAGAGAGTTCTCAGTAGTTCATCTATGGACGAGAGTGTCCTAGATGAAAAGACACGAATTGAGCGATATGAGTCCCAATCATGGGAATCGCTCAAGGAAAATCCTCTCTATGAAGATTTGGTTGAATTCAAGGATGTATTCCCTGAAACTGTTCCGTGCGAATTACCGAAGGATAAAGGTATTCGACACGAAGTCGAGCTTAAACCAGGCTCGAAGTACTGTGTCATGAAGCAGTGGCCACTGCCTCGTGAACAAGTACTTGCGATCGACAAGTTCTTTGCCGATCGTTTAGCAGCGAGCCATGTGAGGGAATCAACTTCCCCACATAGCTCTCCGACCTTCTGTGTGCGAAAAGCAACAGGAGGGTGGCGGATAGTGCACGCGTTTAACAAATTGAACGCTGCAACGGTACCGGCTCGGACGCCGATACCGAGGAAGGACGTAATCATTGATGGTATGTCAAAGAGTACCATCTTTTCGTCCATGGATTTGATGGATGGCTTCTATCAAATCCTAATGCGGAACAGGATATACCCTATACCGCAGTTAGCACGCCTAGCGGCATGCTCTGGGAATGGCTAGTAATGCCACAAGGGCTCAGTAATGCCCCTGCCACGTTCAACAGGTGTGTATCACATCTGTTGAGGCCAATACGAGAATTCGCGCCGAGTTATTTCGATGACGTATTCATCCATAGTCGAGCTATGGATGGAAAGTCGGACGTTGAGGTTCACAGGTACCACGTCCGACAAGTTCTTACAATCATGCGAAAGCATCAATTGTATGCTAACCTCAAGAAGTGTATATTTGCAGCAAGCGAAATACCACTTCTTGGGTGCATCGTTAGTAAGAACGGTGTACGTCCTGATCCCGAAAAGATCAAGGCGATCACCGACTGGCCTGTGCCGGTCGATGTCAAGGTCTTCGAAAATTCCTTGGGCTAGCGGCGTATTTGCATAAGTATTCACGCAATTACGCCGAGATGACTGTACACCTCTCTCGTTTGTTGAAAAAGAACGAGAGGTGGTTATGGAACGCTGAATGTCAACGCTCCTTTGAGGGTATCAAGCAGAGCTTGATACAATCCCCAGTCCTAGCAATAGCCGATCAGGACAGGCCATTTCATGTGGTCTGTGATGCCAGCGATTTCGCAATCGGCTGTGCATTAATGCAGTACGACCTTGAAGGCGTTGAACGCGTCGTCTGCTATCAGTCGCGTCAGCTGCAACCAGCTGAGCGGAACTATCCAGTGCATGACAAGGAACTCCTTGCCATGAAGTATGCACTCGCGAAGTTCAGAGTCTATCTATTAGGAGATAGACCCTTCGTTGTTTACACTGACCATGCGTCCTTACGCACGGCAGTGAACAGCCCGCACCTTTCACAACGAATGGCGCGGTGGTTGTCATTCTTTGCAGAATACAACTTTACGGTCGAGTACAAACCAGGACGACTTAATGTCGTCGCTGATGCACTCTCACGTCGTCCCGACTTTGAAACAGTCGCGAAACCCAACAGTGAGACAGTCACTGTTGCGGTTATGACGTCCTCAGTTCCATCTACAACGTTGTATGATGATGTGAGGCGGGCATACGCCCAAGATGGTGAGATAGTGAAGTTGTTGTCACATCTCTCCCAACCATCTCGAGAATCGTTGAAACGATTGTCGTCTGCGTATCGATCTGCATCAGATCGATACACTACTCATAACGGTTTACTGTACTATACAGCCGTTTCTGGTGACACACCACGTGTTGTCATTCCAGATGATACTGATCTGCGTTTGCGGATCATGTTCGAGTATCACGATGCTCCTATAGGAGGACATCGTGGCCGAGAAGAAAACATATCTCACGGTAAGTCGAGACTTTTACTGGCCCCGCCAGTATCAGTTTGTGCGAAAGTATGTTCGCGCATGCGAAGTCTGCCAACGAGTGAAGTCAAGTCCTTCACTGCGTGCACCTTTACAGCCTCTACCGGTTCCGGCTGAGTGCTGGGAATCCATCTCAATGGATTTCGTCTTCGGGTTACCCAAAGACGCACGCGGGAATACAGGTATTCTCGTATTTGTTGACAGATTCAGCAAAATGGTACACCTTGTGGCTGTACCAGAGACAATCACGGCAAGTGGCTGTGCTTGTGTCTTTATTGACACCATCTTCCGACTTCATGGGTTGCCCCGTGAACTCGTATCAGAACAGAGATCCACGATTCACTGCTGATTTCTGGCGTTCCGTGTTCAAATCACTCGGAACGCGCTTGAAGATGTCAACATCTGATCATCCAGAGTCAGATGGTCAGACGGAACGTGCCAATCGTGTCCTTGAAGAGATACTTCGAGGATACGTACACTCCTTTAAGAGTTGGAGTGAGTTTTTGCCAATGGTAGAGTTTGCCATCAACAACTCGGTGCATGCGTCCACGACACATACACCGTTTTACGTGAATGGCTTGCGCCATCCGCGTGTACCCACCTTACTAGAGTGTAACTCTGGTTTAAGGGGGAGGGACTCGCGCGAGCAAAAACCGATTTGGTTCACGCTCATCACGCTCTGACGAAGAAGTCATTGCGTTTGATGCCGATATCGATAACATCGATATCGAAGAAGATGATGCCAGTGAGAGTGCGGAAGCCCTCACTGAAGACAATGATCCCAGTGAGAGTGCGGAAGCCCTCACTGAAGAAAGGTTGTTGTTGCTGCAGTGCGCTCACAGCACACTGAAGCTAACGAGTCATCAGATGAGTTCATACTGGCTCGTGAAACGGTAGTCGTTTTGTGCAAGACTCCATCGCCCACAGCGCGTGGATAAGCAAAAAGCAAAACGCTGACAAGAATGGAAGGGCAAACACTCTTTTATTTAATAAAGGTGACTTAGTCCTACTGTCTACGGTTAATCTACCAAAACATGTAGTGACTAACTTGGGTAGCAGTAAACTACTACCCAAGTACATTGGCCCATTTCGTGTATTGCACCGCCTAGGCAATGCATACACGATCGAGTTACCACGTAAGATGCGAACGCATCCCACGTTTTACGTTGGTCGGCTTAAGCCGTACCATCAGTACGCTGCTTCTTCCGATGAAGAACGCCCTTGCGCTCAAGCATCTCGCAGAGAGCCTTGTGCTCCCGATGGTGGGCATCAACAAGGGTCTGAAGAGCAGTTATCTCAGCCCGAGACCGATCAACAATCCCACGAGCTACCCTTAGCTCGTCACGAAGAGATGTCAGAGATCTCTCGTTCTCAAGCTGAGCAAAGGCAAACTCAGCTCGATGCTTCGAGGCAGTGTCCACCATCTGGAGACGCCTATTCCGCTCATGCTCGAGATCGTCGCGTAACCCTTGCGTTACGCGATCAAAGAAGCTCTCGGGAACACACCGATCCACATGATCGTGTGGGAGAGCGTCTTTCCTCCTCCTCCACCTCCATTAGAGGACTCTCGCGGTGGCCAGCGCTATCTAGTTGAGCAGCTGTTGAACCACCGCGACGTGAACGGACGTCGGACGAGTTACCTCGTCCGGTGGCGCGGCTATCCCCCCGTCCTGGGATTCTTGGGAGCCCCGCTCCCAATTGATGGTTGACGTACTGGGTCTGGTCGAGCAGTACGACGCGACACATCCTGTGCCGCAGAAGGACCGCCGGAGAAAGTCTTCCCGGCACGGTCGTAAAGGGATTTCAGGTTGTCAATCCCTTTCGTACATCTCAGTAGAGACACGTACGCGCCACCACGGGCTGGTAAGGAGGTAAGCCTCCTTAGGTGCTCGTGCAGAGTTGTTCACACAACATGGGCACGAGTCTCCCCAAGAGAGGCAGGGTAATCCTTTCTCCCTTGACAGACGATGCAGCTTGTAGCGTGCACCTGTCGGGGTTCGCTTTTCAAACTTATCACGAGCTTTGATAAGTTTGTCGTTCCAAGCGTCACGACCTACATCCTCGAGATTATGGATGTAGGCGTTCCACGCCTGAAGTAGTGAGGGACCATCACGTTTGTGATTCCCACTGTACCATCGATGTCTGAAGAAAGCATCGATGAAGAACTCATGTTCAGCGCGATAGTCTTTCGCGCTGGGGTCAAGGTGATGAATCCTCGACGAATCGAACAATCGTGTTCGATAACGATCACTCGTCGTCGCCGACAAGTGATCCATGACAGATTTAGGAGGCATCCATGCCTTCTTTTCTGGAGCGAGACGCAACACATTGCGGTCCCGCTCTTCCTGCGACGTGCCGACAGAAGTACTGGCACCTCGCTGTGAAGTGGTGTCCATTGGAGAAACGACACCACTATTAGCGCCCGAGTCTCGCGACCTCGAGCGCCTTCGCTCTGGCGATGGTTCATCTGACTCATCAGATGAACCAAAGATGCTGCGACGCAAAGCATCGTCCATGCCACGCTTGGCAGGCGGCTTGGATTCAATTGCCGTCGATACGGATCCGTCATCCGTATCAGGAGAGTACGAGACACCGAGCTCGTACTCTGTGAAGACACGAGTGTCTTCATGACCAGCGCCTGCATCACCAGGTGATACAGGCTGAGTCGATTCAGCAACCGATGGGATATCAGTTGCTGTAGTTTCTGCTTCGGCGTCCGCACAGAGACGTGCAGACGCGCTCTCGGCGGCCTTGCTCGCGCATCGCATGGGCTTGTTTACCATGCGATGAAATGTTGGAAAGTGGACGCGGACCAACAGAGTGGCAAACCCCGTCCCAAATGATTTGGGACGAGTATCCATTTAGTCAATCAGTCACTAAAGTGACTGATGGTTAAGGGGGGTGATGTAACGGGGTGAATCGTTACATAACAATTTATAAGAAATTGTTAATAGAATATAACTATAAGAGTTATATTCTCAGAATATTGTCATAAGGACAATATTCGGTAGCACTTCCAAGTAGTTCCTAATTGGTTGATATAGGCCATTATATCAACCAACGAAGACGCGCCCACGACAGACGCACGCAATGAGTGGTGAGCAGATAACTGATTTACACATACGATTCACCTGGGCGTCCCGGTCTTCGAGGTCCAATTGCAGCCGTTGCACCTCCGCCCCTTCAAGCTCTTGTTTACAAGGCTATTCTTGATGGGTCATCGACATGTCTTCCAACGCCAGTCTGGTCGTGTCAAGCTTTTTGTCAACTCTGTGGAAAGGTTTTATTGTACTTGGATGTCTTGGCTCTTGCAGTTTGGAGGTCGCGGCCTTAATTTTGTCCCGCAGCAGCCAGGCGCGGAGTTATCACTTCTAATTAAAGTTGGACGGCGGACAAATCACGAGTGCGCAGATCTTCGACTTGTTTAAACTTCTTTTCGGCTTATGAGAAAGCCGTCTTGAGTTCTCGGACCACGTGATCTTAACCCAAGCGCCGCGCCAGCTTCGTCTGAAACCTGTGCAATCTCTAGATCATGTCTTGGCGATCAGTCCAGAGACCGAGATAAATCTGTTGGACATAGGTTGCCAAGCGCGGGACGATCTCGATTTACTATTGCAACTGCGTTTGCAGTCGGTCGATCTGCAGTTTCTATTCCAGACATAACTCCTCGAATGAGTGGTAGTCGGCAACAACCGCGGCATGAAGATCCAGTTGACCGTAGAGCGCCGCGATCCCCGCAGTCTACGTATCACAATCAAACAAGGATGCAGCGCTCACCAGAGATGACGTCAACACAACTGGCCTTCTAACGGGTGGACCCGGCGGCGGAGTAGAAGGCAAAATCGGGATATCGGCCTTTATGTGGGAGGTGCAGGTGATACAGGAGCCATGGGCGTTGTGGGTGCACCGTCCATCGACATTGTATATCGAGCGTCGGTGCAGGGACGATTATGGAGAAGCGCAAAGGAACGATGACGGAAGTGTGGATCGCGCGATCCTCCTTAAGTACGCAAGTTAGTTTGATTGGTGGAGCGCGTACGGAGATGGGCCTGTTGGCACGGATGATGATGTCACACGGCTGAGTGACAGTAAATGACTGTGGAAATTATTCAGAGTAACCCAATTAACGGTCACGAAGGGGTAAAGGTCAAGCGGAGTGTGTCCTGATGATCGAGTGAGATAACGGACCCGCCGTGGATCGCTATCGCGATCCGGTACTCCGCGATCTGGAACTCCGCGATCCGGAACTTTGCGATCCGGTACTCCGCGTTCCGGTACTGTACGATCCGGTACCGAACGATCCGGTATGGGGCGATCCACTACGGTATATCAGCTGGGACCACAGGACGTAAGGTGAGTGACATAGACATCCGACCTAGCGAACAGATAGGCATAGTCATAAGTTTTAGGCTTGGTTGGTTGACATTAAACAGAATTGAATTTGCAACGAAAGACACGCGTCGAATTCTCCCGGGCAGGATCTTTGGCCTCCCGTTGAATAGAGAGTCACCCACGTCTCAAGTGAACTTTGCACTTGAATTGTTTGGCAAGGCGGAAGGTCAATTCTCACCCCCCCCTCAACTGCGATAGGGCGCACTGAACCTTACGGTTCAGATTCAAGATCGCGAGACGGCTCAAGTGGTCAGAAGGCTCTCGTATCAAGCATCACCCTTGGCAAAGGAGACTCTGGGAGAGCGCCCAAGTTACAAGCGATCGAGTGAAGAATTTCCACGCTATCCGTCACCACCCTCGATCGGGTGAAATATTTCCACCCTATCAACAACTATCCCTAAGCCAGTCAAGTTCAGCTTCAGCTCAAGTCCACCGTGAAGAGCGCAACCTGCCCCACCGAAGGGTACAAAAGGTGAGCACGAAGACACAGGACACATAATCGGGGTACCCCCTCCGTTAGTCGGTCGTCCGGGCGCCAAAGGAGAGTCGGGATCGTCTCAGGAAATGAGCGATCGCAACTCCACCACATGATTCATAGTGAGACAGGGCAAGGATATATTCGTGATCCCTCATCTTAATTCCACGATCCTGGCTTAGGATCACGACCCGAACCTACGATCCCGATCCGGACCTAGGACCGCGTTTCGGACCTAAGATCACGATCCGGACTTAAAATAACGATCCAGACCTGGGATCACGACCTGGACCCGAAATCACAATCTGGACCTAAGATCATGATCTGGACCTAGGATCACGATCTGGACCTAGGATCACGATCTGGACCTACGATCACGATCCGAGGTAGAGTAGCGGTGATATTATGGGTGGACCACAAGAAGATTCGACTGCCGATACACCTGGTGTGGGCCACACCTATACGAGAGGACGATGTTCCTTAAACAGGGACGCGTGCCATCCGGTTAGGATCTACAGATAAGTCAGAGGGGTAGGTTATAGGTTAATTGGTTAGCATTAAAGAGAATCCAGTTTACTTTATAAGACGCACGCAATCTCTTCCAGGCAGGATCTTTGGCCTACCGACGAATAAGAGTCGCGTTACGCGTCCATATAAGTGTCACACCTGAATTGTTTGGCCAGGTGCGTTCAAGAATTTTCGGGTAACTGCAACTACGCTCGACGCATTAAAACACGTAAATTTAAGGCACAAGATCGCGAGGCGGCTCATGTGGTCAGAGGGCTCGCGTGTCAAGAACCCACACAGTGGGCAAGGCAATCTCGTTGAGATCAAAGTAACTTATATGAGTACCCCACCGATACTCCAGTGATCACGCAAAGATTTCCGCCCGATTGAACAAACCCATCTCCAACACAGTTAAGGTTTCCCTCGACAAAAATTCCACCTGGAAGAGTGCAACCCGCCCTACCTACGGATCCAAAAGGTGAGGAAAGCATATACACGGAATCGGAGTACCCCCTCCGTTAGTCGGTCGTCCGGGCGCCAGTGTAAAGTCGGTATCGTGGAAAGGAATTATCGATCACCACACCGCCAATTCCACTTGTCACTTCGACCCTTGACGTGATGAGGGACAGCTCTTCACTAGGGGCAGTAACACACAGCGACTGTGTGTTGGAAGCAATCTTCGTCAAGAGTTCTGCAAATTCTCTTGACGTTGCTATATCAGCAGGGTGCTCTGCCTCTACTGCGTCTATCCTTTTTTTGCGGTCCGACTTGCTGTCGAGGCTTAGCTATATGGTCAGACCCACGCCTTGGACCTTTCCTCGGCCAACGGCGGTCATCACCACTGCCTTTGGACGTGATGCGGTGCTTATGGCACTACAATCATGAGTGTAGTGTCCGATCTTCTGACAACGTTGGCATATTGCCGTTCTCTTGTGATTCAGAGAGCGAGAGTTCTCGCTCTAGATGCAATAGATGTTCATTGGTTCGGGACCTCCTGTTTCCTGTCGTCTCGTCGGACGATAGTTTGAAGAATTAGCCTGATACTGTCACAGGCTGAAGTCTTCTTGTTCCGCTTACGCTATCGCCTTTTTCAGCGTATGGAAGTCCTTTTGGAATATGTAGGTATACACCGGCCCATCCACAAGGCCGTAGATGAACACGTTGATGAGCGTGTGCTCATCAGCAGAGTTTGTAACGCTAATCGCAAGGTAGCGTAGGTGCTGTGCATAAGTATGCAAATCATGCTTACCTTGCTTTAGCCTCAAGAGTGCAGAGCGTGCTCTGAACTCGGCTATCGGCGACTCAAACGTTTCTTTAAGCCGAGACTTCAAGATCTACAACGACTCCAACACGTTTGGGTCGTGAAGCTTGAGCCTTAAGGCCCAAGTCTTTGCTCGTCCCGTCAAATTTGACAGGGCGAAGGCGAGATGCATATCATCACCCTCGATGTGACGGGCCCTGATTGCGTCGTCTAGCTCGACGAACCATCTCAAAAGGGAATCTTCATCGGTACTTTTGTACCTTGAGATATCAATCTTCAAGGTTTCGGGTCGACGCGCGTGGTCGGCCCGCCTACCGAATGATGCAAACCTTGCCGGTGAAGTAAGGCTATCTTCTGTCTTTCATAGCAAGTTCCCTTGTATGTTGATAGCAGCATATTGCTGGTCTCTGCCTAGAGACTTCAACATGCCACTGATGGCGGGTTCGCCCATGAGCGCGCTCATGCTACTGACTACCTCCTATTCTGAGTCAGTCAGGTGGGAGTAGCCTTAAAGTGTGACGTGAAAGCTGTCGTCTTCTACGTCCAACATGTTCATGTTGAACGGACACTAGTAATCGTTAAGCGGACTACAATGTGCTACCAGGTGTAACAGGGCACCATTTTTTTGGGGTGCCGCGAAACTTCACGTACATTAGTACGTGCAGAGGAAGCTAATCTACTCAAACAACTATGTTGAGTAAAGGGTATAAAGAGAACCGTATTTAATATAGTTAGGCTATCGATATAACTTTGATCGTTATCTAACTATATTAAACTACGTCGTCGGATGACGACAACCTGCTCACCACTCATTGCGCGCGTCTAGCAGCAATTAGTGGTAATCTGTGGTTATTATGTCTTCTATCAATCAATCTTTAAGCTGCACGTGAATATTATCCAGAAGGAGATAATATTCCTTTAATATTATCCATCTCAGATAATACTGGTAGGATATTGTCACGCTAGACAATATCTCTATTGACACCGTTTGGTGTCAATTTCATGTACGGGTTACCCCGTTACAAGCTGCTAACTATCGAAGCAATGCTTCAATATTCCATTTAGGCGCAGAATACACGTACCGGTACTGACGGTCCCCGTAGCTAGCTTGTATAAGCTACGTATGGTAACGCGAGCTTGTCTTTGATGTACAAGTCGGTGTCAGAAGACGTCTTGTCTATATACCCTTAACTTAAAAATATTCACGCAAAATTTATTTGACGTTCCGACGACACACGCGTCTGTGCCACAACGCATTTTTTCGACGTTTGTTTTCTACGTTTTTCCCGGAGATAGCGGAGTTTTGCATTAGCACGAAGATCAAATCCATGAAAGCTATTTATTGTTTTACGGTATTGTGAACTACGCGGATCTATCATAATGCATCTCAGAACCTACGCGTGAAACCGAGCAGGAATCAGTTTTGCGGGGAATCCTTAATTACCCTGAGTTATGGGCCTATCAGGAAATCTGTGATCTGTTCGTCCGACTCTTCCACCACGCTCAACAGCTCTTTGATATTAAATTTCTCACGATTCAAAAGTTCCAGAATGTTGGCGGTATATAGTTCCGGAAGTGATAATGCCCTCGTGAAGTACAAAATGTACTGCTTCAAGGGATCCTTCACTGTGTATGCCCACGGACGACGTATTATATGTAACTGTTTCTTTTGGATGTCGAGAACATGACCGATTATCCATCCCCTTTCCAGCCACATATCAAACAGCTCCTCGTCCATTTGCCGAGCTTCACCACCGTAGATACAGCTGAGCCGTGCCAGAGACAACATACCTGCGACGTTTGCTTCGCCTCCGTAGCCTGCGATAAATGCGTCGAGCAATGTCCAGGACGTATGGTGTTGCTCATTGTATACACCGATGTATCCCATCAGTGCCCCGAGTTTTGGTGATGCGAAAGGGTTCCCCATACGTTTTCTTGAAACCCATGTAGACTCACCCCCAATGTCTAGTTTCTTAAAAATCTCACCGGGAGTATTCTCTATCGATTGCACCTTCTCAATTAGATCGTCCGCCAATTCGGGGGTTATCTCTGTCCACTGACGCTCGGAGATGAATTCTCGGACAGTGGAAATGAACTCGTCCCTTCCATCCTTTGAGCTCTCCACAAGGTCAATACCCCCTCGTGCGAGCCGAGCCATTTTACGTTGTCGGAGCTCCTTTTCGTGGGGTTGCCCAGATTCCAATGCAAGACAGCGAGTCTCGAGATATGCCATGATAGCATGTAATTCGAATGACCTCACTTTTTCTTTATAACCGCTGGGAAGCCCGTCCGTGTTTTGACCGTACGAGTGTAGTGAAGTCACCAGTCTACCAACTGCATTCGCTACCTTTTTTCCCATCGATGTAGGAATGGGAGGGCTCGCTCGCTCTTCACCTAGCGTGGATTTGAGATCCCCCAGCAGCCGCTTGGCATGCACGCTATCGTAAGGACCATCAGAAAAACGGACACTGGCCGAGAGGTTGAACGCCGTCAGCAAAGGGCGGGGTATTTTGGTAGAGTTCGTGCTGCGTACGATTACGGGTGTCGATGTCATGAGCGCGAAAGTGGTGAGACGCATCTTTAGTTGCTGTCGTGGTCTTTCACGAGGGTGTGGGATCAAATTTCGAAGTGACCAAGAAGCTTCACTCGCACAGCTATCCGACGACATCTGAAAGAGCCTTGACCGTAAGCTCTCCAATCCTTTTGTCGACTCTTGCATACTTCTTTCGAATGGCTTTCAGCGCGACTTTCCTCCTGATTCTGGTTAGAGCCAGCACAGTCGAAACAGGGCAAGGGACCTCATTGAAGGCCGACGAACAGGAAGCGCGCAGGACCCGATTCAGCTCGTGACTCTGCACCTAGGCGACCGTGGATTGCACTGATTTGGAACGGATCAGCACCTGAGCTCACGTCTGTTCTCACAGAAAACGGCGAACGATAGGTCACAATCTTTAGAAATATGGTCTCGTCTTCGTGGCGCATCCTCTGATTCACATCTTCCTATTGCTAGGCTAGGCCGTAACCTCACGTCGCTCCTTTGCAAAGCACTCAGAAAAGCACGCCTTCCGATATCACAGGAAGTCTTCACCCGACCACTCATGACTTTCGTAAGTCAGCTTGACGGAAACGCTAGAACCGATGTACGGCTTAGCGCTGCGCCCAGACAAACACGAGGCGACCATCGTGACAGCCTCACATCCTGTCAAACCCGGAGAAGGTATCGGGTCACAACTCGGCAAAAACGTTGACATGCCAGCTTGGGGCGATAGCGTAAAGAGAGCATCGAACAATAGAATCGACAATCGAGGACGTTATGCTTTATGCGTGCATCGGGTGCGTTTGGAGCGAGAAGGATCTAGAGGGTTACCGTTTCTACTGTAGCCAGTCACGATCAGCCCCAGGGTGACCCGGCGTTAACTCACGTTAGTCCAGAGACCTCGCACATAGCTGAGATCATGCATCAAAACAATCGGAACCTCTCAAATTGGGTAGCTGATCCTTGTTGATGTGGTGTCACCTAAGGCAGCTCACCCTCGATCCTTGCGAATGTAACGTGGCCATGCTCTGATGCAAAAATCAAGCACGCCTGCAGGTTACGTGAACCTTCTGATCGAAAGTCTGTGACCACGCGAGACATGCGAGGTCTCGATGGTGTGGCGAGGTCTACCGAAGGAGACAGGCGGCGTGCGTGCGTGTTCAGCTCAGCTTCCACCTGTTGACGACGCCGTTTAGACATTGAGAGAGGGTCGAAGAAGGGACAGCTTGCGACCTGCAGATCTAAGCGGATTATTACCAAGCTTTTTTGCGTCAGGTGTTGATGGGTACAAGGGCAAACTTTGCAACGCGGGACACAAGTGATGATCAAAATCAGCACACATTGAACTGTACAATGAATGACCTTTCCACTCAAAACTTGCGCAAGACTCGACAAGCGCGTGCTTTCGCTCACCCGTCTACAGTCTCGGTGCCAAGAGACCCGCGTCGCGTGCACTCTTTCAGCGTTTTCGTCTTAGCGATGGAAGCAAACCTATCGCTTGGATCTAACACAGCTGTAATCGTCGTTGTACGGATTGATCAATTTCTCATTGCTTTGTTCCCTCAATTTCGGCGTGCCGACTGAGATGCGATGAACAACTGAATGACCTGCATGAATCTGATATGCATACGTTACGACTGAATGATCTACCTCGATTGGCCGTCGCTCTCTAGTCTCAGCAGCGGACTTCCATGTCTATCAGTGGAAGACGCGCAACAACAAGTCACTGCGGGCTTCATTTCGAGCCGTGTACATTGATTCGAGCCGTATCCTGCCATACACGCTCTGCGTTTGCGTCCCTGATTTCCTCGCTCATGATATCAGTGAAGCAAATCTCGATTTCGTGCAATGGAATCTGTAGCATTTCCTCCTTCGGTTCATCGGTGTACGGCCGTAACCTTCGCGATTCGATAACTTGTTTACTACTGGCGAGGAGACAACTGCTCCTGGTCAGTATAACACCTACCTTGTTTACTGTTTCGGACACCCTTGTACCAAATCTTGCAAAACAATGTCGTGAATGACCTGATGATAAAAGGCTACAACCATACGGCAACGATTCGTCGCGCTTGCAACCAGCTGGACCGCCGTCCGAACCCGCCGCTTTGCACTCTTGCAGAGAGGCCAGCTGAACCAGAAGGAGATGCAATTATGGCCAGCGTCAGTAGATGCGACTGACATGGAGGTGCCGAACTCGACACAGAAGCACTGCAATTTATGGAGAATCGAGATACATTTTGTCGTTCTTGCATGTGTTGGTTCACCTTTTTGCGTCGTTTCGTTGGCTCAACTCGTATCGCCTGCGTTAGGGAATTAGTCGTCCCAGTTCTCAATCGCAAAGGTTGCTCGATTGTTGTCGAAGATGCGCTAGGAGTAGCTTTCTGCAGCAATGGTCCTTACGCTGACATACCTAGCTTCGATCCGAAAAGTCTATCCTCACCCACAAAGTGTGTCTCTGATCTGTAGCCTCGACAGGACTTACTTTTGAGGGTACGTTGTACAAATCTACAGCGGATTCGAGTCTGGTCACATCTACCACCGGGCTTAAATTTTCTGGCGCTCCACGTCAAATGTCCAAAAAGTACAAGGCAAGAGAGTATTTGTACACGTTAGTAGTCGTGACACGGATGCAGCAAAACATTTCTACCATTAATGTCGGTTGATGAGTCCACTCGACCCAAGTCACGTGCCTGCGACTTGGGCGACGATGTTTCTAGGCGTGTTTGAGCATTGGCCGTTCACATCAGTGGCATAGTACCCAAGAATATACGCGCTTTTCCTGCTTCTTCCAGTCAATTAGAAATATACCGGGTGGAGTGAAAAGGCCGAGTAAAAGGGGACACCACGCGATTGGCGTAGCCCATCTACTCGGATTGGCAACGAGACTGGAACTTGAATGCTTCAACAAAGCATCTACACTCGGCCAGATCGGAGACTGGCAACGGTAGAAAATGGTAGCAATGACATGATGGATATAGAGTGAGAGGTACGAAGGATGATGAAGGTGACGCACTTCATGGCAGTAAGAGTACTATTTTAGCGCGGTGCCACAAGACGCAGTCGAAGCGACACAGCCATGCGTTTCTAAACCACCGAATATGCAGCACATTCTGAAACAAGAGGACGTCGTCGACCTCCTAAACATCAGGATGAATGCAGCATGCGAGGTACGTTTGCATTCTGCAATAGCTGTACTTCCCTGCGCTGTCAGGTTCGTTTGGTTTGTTGCAGTGAGTTCGGAGAACGGACGTGCGTGTCACTGACAAATTGAGTCATCGACGCAGGAGAAAAGGTAGAAAGACTCCTCGTGGCACTCACGCATCAGAGATCTGCGTACGCAGTGATGCATACAGCTAATGCACTTTCTGGATGACTGGCACGTATACGTTGACGTCCAGCGAGTCGAATCGCAGTTTCGCGGACAAATGAAAGTCATGGCATTCGCGTCTCTTCTTCTCTGCCTTGCTTCGGTATATCGCACGTAGACGGACTGTCTAACGAGAAAGACATTTGCAAGCAGGGGCGTTGCGCAGGCGTCGCGACGGATCTGATTGTGGCGACGTAGATAATCTAGTCAAGAGGATGTCTGCAAGTCGACTAAAGGCTGCTGCAGCGGATTTTTGTGCACTCTGTCTGCACTGCACAGCACAGAGAACCACACGCGACTCTCAGCTGTCTGATGATTACTTACTACTACATCCAGGTATTTTGTGCCTACAGACAGCACAGTCTCGACACTCAGTAGTGCCTTTCTGACAACAAGGAAGACGTGCGGATCCCACTCAGCCTGGCAGGGCGAGGTTCCAAAGTCCGAAGTCGTCCTCGGGACATCCGTTTTGTCCAATCGAAATACGTCTCTAGGGCTTTTGACAGCTCATTCGCCAATATTCGCTTCGGCAGAGTGTACCCACCCACCCACTCCACGCACGCACCATCACGACATGTCGGCGGATCTGTTTGCAGACTGGAAAAAGGAAGATGCGTCGGTCCCTGACGTCCGAAGCGGCGCTGGGGGCTCTGGAGGAGGCGCCTACGACGGCGCTCTGTACGCGGCTGGTGCTGTGACGATTGACGGGAATCCTGCTGGCGGCCGCAGCAGCAGCAACAACAATGATGACTTTGACTTTGAGACGGTCGGTGACGACGACGCGTCGAGGCTCACGAAGCCGGAGAAGCCCCTGTTTGAACTTCGGGAGCACGGTCTCAAGATCTCCCGTCGCAAGGGGTTCACGCTGATCTGCATGGGCGTGGGCAATGGCGTACTGGCCATGGGTTCTCAAGAGGGCGTCCTTCTCCGCTGTACGACGGAAGCCACCGACAGCAACGGGACGATCGAGGAAATCATGATTGAGCCACGTGTAGCCATGTCTAGTGTGTTCATTGATCCCACAGGAGCCCACGTGCTCGTGTCGATGGAAAATGGCTCCAACTTTTACTTGCACACGGGATCGACGCGTCCAAAGAAGCTTCTCAAGACCCAAGGAATGCAGTTTACGAGCGTAGCGTGGGACCGCCAGTCTGGATCGCCAGAAGCGTCGGAGCCTATACTGATTGGAGCTACCTCGGGTGCAGTGTTTGAAGCAGCGTTTGATGGAGGCAAGGAAAAAGCGGTGACCAAAGTGTTTCAGATTGCCAACCAGGGAGCAATTGCTGGCATCGCTTTCGAGCACTGGCATCTGCCATCAGGAGAGAAGCGACACTATGTCATGCTCACGACGTCGGCATCAGGAAAGAGACCGACGCGTGTGTTATGAGTGGAGGTTGAGGTGGCTTTGAAGCCATGTTCCAAGAGTACACGAGTCCGGATAAGCTACGTTTCCAGGAAATGCCGGGGGACATGACGACAGCAGAATTGCGGTTTTATGTCAAACAAAGCCGTGAACGCGCAAAAGGCTTTGGCGTACTAACGGGCGAGGGAGTGTACCATGGAGATTTCGTGTTCGGGCTGTCGAGCACGATGGAAAACGTGACGACAGGCACAGGATTGCTAGCGTACCCTAGTAAACCGGAGAAGTCTTCGGACGGTCGTGGATCATGGACACCGCCGATTTCGATGGCAGTGACCCAGTACCACGTGGTTCTGCTGTTCGCACGCCATATTCAAGTCGTGTCGAAGCTGAGTGGCGTGGTTGTGATGGAAGAATCGTTCGACGCGCGAGTAGGCAATGTGCACGGCATTGTTGTGGATGACACGTTCAACACAGTGTGGATCCACTCAAGCCGTCGTATCTTGGAGGTAGTTATTGCTGACGAGGACCGCGATGTATGGAAGCTATTCTTGAGCAAGGCTGTGATGGGTAACGGTGACGATCGCGATTTTGAGCAGGCCTTGGCTGTCTGCCGCAATGGATGGGAACGTCAGCGCGTGCTGACAGCACAAGCAGACAAGCTTTTCGATAAGGGGAAGTTTGATCGTGCTGCTGTTATGTACGCGAAGACAACGCGTTCGTTTGAAGAGGTGGCGCTGAAGTTTCTCGAAATCGAGAGTCGTGACTCGTTGCTGTTATTCCTGCTGCAGAAGCTGAAAAGCTTGGGAAGTGACGAGAAGACACAGCAGACTGTCTTATGCTCATGGATCGTTGAACTGTTTCTAGATAAGTTCAATGTGCTGAAGGGGAGTGTGCAAGATGTTGATGCGCATGCAAACTTGCTGTTCGAGTTCAAGCAATTCCTGCAAGATCAGAAGAGTCATCTCGATCCGGCCACGACTTTCAATTTAATCCTTAGCCACGGCCGACCGGATGAGCTTGTGTTCTACGCAACTCTTATCGAAGATTACGGAAAAGTGATTACGTATCATGTGGACCGCGGCGAGTACGGAGCTGCAATCGAGTTGCTTCGTAGCGTAGAAACGTCGAACGTGGAAGAGCTGTGGTACAAGTATTCACCCGAGCTTATCATTCATAAGCCGAAGGAGGTATACGAGGCATGGCTGGAGGCCGCTACACTGAACCCGACGCGTCTCATTCCGTCAATTGTGCGTCATGTGCACCAGAAGAGCGATGCGGGCGCGGAATCGGCCAGCACTACAACAAAAAGTCGCTCCGTTTTGGATATGGCCATTCGGTTTCTGAAGTTTGCCATCAAGCAGGGCAACCGCGATCCGACGATCCACAACTACCTGTTATTTCTGCTGGCCAAGCACCCTGACGAGCGCTTGCTCATTAGCTTCTTGCGCAAAAGGCACAATGGCAAGCATCTGTTTGACATTACCTTTGCTCTGCGCCTTTGCACACAGAACGAGAAGAACCGTGCTTGCATTTACATCTACTCTGCGATGGGGCTATACCAGGACGCCGTGGAAAAGGCACTGCAAGTCGATGTGAAAATTGCCAAGGAAATGGCTGGCATGCACGAGGATGATGAGACTCGCAAGAAACTGTGGACGCTGATTGCCAAACATACGATCGACGCTGGAGGTGAGATCAAGGACGCCATGAACATTTTGAAGGAGAGTGATTTGTTGAAGATTGAGGACATCCTGCCTTTCTTCCCTGACTTCGTCCTGATCAACGATTTCAAGAAGGAGATTTGCGAGTCGCTCGAAGTGTACAATGACCGCATTGAACAGCTGAAGGAAGAGATGCAAGACTACACCCAGTCGGCCGAATTGATTCGTGCTGACATGCAGCAACTGCGCAAACGTTGTGCTGTCGTGTCCGGCAACCAACGCTGTGAGCTCACCGGTCAGAACATCCTAGGCAAGGAATTCTACCTTTTCCCGTGCTCCCACGCTTTTCACGCTGGCGCACTCCGTCAAGAGATGCAAAAGCATCTGAATAGTTTTCAGCGACAAACGGTAAAGCAGCTTGTTCAGAAACTCAATGAGCTTTCCACTGAAATGCCGGCGAGCACGAACTTTTTCCAGCGACCGCTGTCAGCCTTCCCTTTTCTCAACTTGTCGTCGACCGAGAAGGAAGCGATGACGCCCGGTTCCGAGGGAAGCAGCGCCGCGACAACCGCAAAGGCAAAAAGTGGTGCGAAAGAGCAGTCCATTGCGCAGGAGCGTGAGATGGTGCAGCAAAAGCTGGACGAGACCATCGCGTCCGAGTGCATGTTCTGCGGTGAGGTAATGATCAAGTCGATTCACACGCCTTTCATCACACCGGAAGACGAGGCGAACGAAGGCAGCGAGTGGGCCATTTGATGGCAGCATGGCGATTGGCCTGCTTTTGAGAGGACGGGTAGCGCAGGATCAAGAGTAAGGTCCACGAGTCAACACGCAGACATACGTGCGAGCATTTGAGATGTGAAAATGAGATGGAATTTGAGCGAGCTTACCTGTCAGCATCTAGTGTTTTTGCTGCCATATAATATCTGGCGCTGGGTTGTGATGCTTTGCGCTTGTGGCAAGTTGGATGAATTGAAGGACGATGCCGATCCAGCCCGGGTTCGAACTCTACCTGAGACTACTTCTCGAAGCGGCATACAACGTGGGTGTGGCTGATGAAGTTGGTAAGTTGGCGTCGGTCTTATATGTTGTGACCGAATTGATGCGTGTCGGTGTATTCCAGGCAAACCACACCGTCGGTACGAGATTATATTCAGTGATGTTCGCAGGCGAATGAGCTAGTAAGATTCAGTCAAGATCCGTCGTTGAACGGTCCCTGGACAGTAATGCCGTTGTCGTAACGTGCTTGGTCACTGATTCTACAGCTGACGCACAGCAGCAGTTCGTGACATGTTACCTGCGCTCGAGTTTATCGGCTTCACAAATCAGGTAAGTTTAACGTTGCTATTGTTTGCGCTGACGGCTTGAGACAAGAGGGCTTCACTTTAGGTCACGAACCCGTTATCTATAGGGCAAGTTGTGAAGAAGATAATCACGATTAGAATGCAACGCAAGGTGTGATCGCTGTGGAAACTGATCAGGAAGAGCTGCACGCTTATGGATGGCTGCACGACCTGGGGCAATAGTCTTTGCTACCTTGACAAGCGTGATGCGGACTATGCGATCGCGAGCATTGCAGCACATTTGAACGGTACGGAGGCGAAGTGGCATGCCCGACTCGGTCTCGACGACTTCAAGGGTGTCGCGCTTGTTGAGGATCATGGTCTTGCAGACGATGTACACGATTTCGACAAGAAGCGAGGAGCTTGTGCAACTTGTCGTGGAGCAAAGCGACGAACGAGTCACGAGTCAATGCTGGATAAGCACCGATTGAAAACACCGACACTGTACAACTGGTGTTGAGATCAAGATAGGCACGGAGCCTCAGCCTATTAGCTGAATTTATTGCAAGGAGTCGAGGGCAGATGCTGCACCACTATTCTTGAACAACCTCGTTAGTAGACGAACTCATCGCTTTCTCGCGGTCTTCACTGGCGTCCATCGGGTAATTAAAACACTGACAAGTTTACAGATATGGCATGCTTAACCGCCGATGCTGAATTCACCGTCGAACACAAAAACCCGTTAACGAAACTTCGTGGCGTATCGCACACAGTCGATAATGTACGACACATCAGTCATGGTCCAGGCTACCAAACGTCAGGCAGTTGTAGAAAGAGAGCTGTACAAAAGAGACAAGGCCTGTAACGGGGCACCGACGACAACGTACTGGTCAACCAGCACGAAGTTATTTTCCACTGACAACAGTGAAGGCCAGTGCCATGCTAGGTGTAGACACTAGGCAGAGGGAGGTTACGGTTTTACTTTTACCACGACTAGAGGTGAAACTCTAGTCGTTGTAAGAGCAAAACTGTTTTTTACAATACTTAATTCTATTACGCTAGTTTCTCTTTTCCCAAATTGTCACGGCATAGCTCATGCCAATTTTTTTTTCCTTCGGAGCGGCCACTTCGGATGTAACGGGGTAGCCCGTTACATGATATTGACACCAAACGGTGTCACTAGGGATATTGTCTAGCATGACCATACTCTACCAACGTTATCCGGGATGGATAATATCGAAGGAGTATTATCCCCTTTGTAGGATAATATTCATGCGCTGCTCCAAGATTGATTGGTAAAGACGTATCAACCGGACCTTATTACCAATCACTGCTGGACACGCGTAATGAGTGGTGAGCAGTTTGTCGTCATACGACGACGTAGTTTAATTTAGTCAGATAAAGATCAAAGTTATATTGATAGCTTAACTATATTAAATACAGTTCTCTTTTTACCCTTTACTCGACATAGTTGTTTGAGTAGATTAGCTTCCTCTGCACGTACTAGTGTACGTGAAGTTTCGCGGCACCCCAAACAAAGGGTTCCCTGTTACATCTTGTCTACATACCCTTAACTTAAATATTCATACAGCGTTTATTTGACGTTTCGACGACACACGCGTCTGGTGCCACAGCACATTCATTCAACGTTTGATTTCTACGTGTTTCCCGGAGATAACGGAGTTTTGCATTAGCACGAAGGTCGAATCCATGGAAGCTATGTATTGTTATCGGGTATTGTCAACTACGCGGATGTATCCTCTTGCATCTCAGTACCTACGCGTGAAACCGAGCAGGAATCAGTTTTACGGTGAATTCATGAGATCCTTTTCTATTTCCTTTACCCGGAAAAGTTCGATCTCTCTTTCCGCCGCTTGCGCCTCGATCAACAGCTCTACGAAACTAAATTCGTCAGTCTGCAAAAGGTCCAGAATGTTGGCGGTAAATTGTTCCGGTAGAGAATATTTCTGAGTGAAGGCCAAAATGTACCTCTTCAAGGAATCCTTCACTTTGTATGCCAGCGAAGGTACCTTATCTAACTGCTTCCTTTGGATTATGACAACATCACTGATTGCCCGTCCCCTTTCCAGCCACAATTTATACAGCTCCTCCTCCATTTGCTGCGCTTCACGACCGTAGAAACAGCTAAGCCCTGCTAGCGACAACATACTTGCGACTTTCGCTTCGCCTTCGTAGCCTGCGATAAATGCGTCGAGCAATGTCCAGGACGTTTGGTGTTGCTTATTGTATTCACCGATGTATCCCACCAGTGCCCCGAGCTTTGGTGATGCGAAAGGGTTCCCCATACGATTTCTTGAAATCCATGTAGACTCACCCCCAATGTCTAGTTTCTTGAAAATCTCACCGGGAGTATTCTCTTTCGATTGCACCCTCCCCATTAGATCGTGCGCCAATCGGGGGGTTATCTCTGTCCACTGACGCTCGGAAAGGGATTCTCGGACAGCGGAAATGATCGTGTCCCTTCCATCCACTGAGCTCTCCACAAGGTCAATACCCCCTCGTGCGAGCAGAGCCATTTTACGTTCTCGGAGCTCCTTTTCGTTGGGTTGCTCGGATTGCAATGCATGAAAGCGAGTCTCGAGATATGCCATGATCGCATAATATTCGAATGATCTCAGTTTTTTACGATAACCACTGGAAAGCCCGTTCAAGTTTTGACCCTGCGAGTGTAGTGAAGTCACCAGACTACCAACTGCATTCGCTACCTTTTTTCCCATCGATGTAGGAATGGGAGGGCTCGCTCGCTCTTCACCTAGCGTGGATTTGAGATCCCCCAGCAGCCGCTTGGCATGCACGCTATCGTAAGGACCATCAGAAAAACGGACACTGGCCGAGAGGTTGAACGCCGTCAGCAAAGGGCGGGGTATTTTGGTAGAGTTCGTGCTGCGTACGATTACGGGTGTCGATGCCATGAGCGCGAAAGTGGTGAGACGCATCTTTAGTTGCTGTCGTGGTCTTTCACGAGGGTGTGGGATCAAATTTCGAAGTGACCAAGAAGCTTCACTCGCACAGCTATCCGACGACATCTGAAAGAGCCTTGACCGTAAGCTCTCCAATCCTTTTGTCGACTCTTGCATACTTCTTTCGAATGGCTTTCAGCGCGACTTTCCTCCTGATTCTGGTTAGAGCCAGCACAGTCGAAACAGGGCAAGGGACCTCATTGAAGGCCGACGAACAGGAAGCGCGCAGGACCCGATTCAGCTCGTGACTCTGCACCTAGGCGACCGTGGATTGCACTGATTTGGAACGGATCAGCACCTGAGCTCACGTCTGTTCTCACAGAAAACGGCGAACGATAGGTCACAATCTTTAGAAATATGGTCTCGTCTTCGTGGCGCATCCTCTGATTCACAGCTTCCTATTGCTAGGCTAGGCCGTAACCTCACGTCGCTCCTTTGCAAAGCACTCAGAAAAGCACGCCTTCCGATATCACAGGAAGTCTTCACCCGACCACTCATGACTTTCGTAAGTCAGCTTGACGGAAACGCTAGAACCGATGTACGGCTTAGCGCTGCGCCCAGACAAACACGAGGCGACCATCGTGACAGCCTCACATCCTGTCAAACCCGGAGAAGGTATCGGGTCACAACCCGGCAAAAACATGGATTGCACATGCCAGCTCGGGGCGATTGCGTAAAGAGAGCATCGAACAATAGAATCGACAATCGAGGACGTCATGCTTTATGCATGCATCGAGTGCGTTTGGAGCGCGAAGGATCTAGAGGGTTACCGTTTCTACTGTAGCCAGTCACGATCAGCCCCAGGGTGACCCGGCGTTAACTCACGTTAGCCCAGAGTGTAACGGGGCACCCTGAAGCTTGTACTGGTGACAGTACAAGCTACTTATTCTGATAACAGAATAAGGCGGTGCCTCGTAACTTCACGTACACTCGTACGTGCAGAGGAAGACGGTAAGAAGAAGCGAGTACTCGGTTAGAGTAAAAAGTAGAACTGTATTTATAATAGTTAATGTCTGCAATAAATCACTATTTATCTTCATCTAACTATGTCTAAATACAAATGTGTAAATCAGTTATCTGCTCACCACTCATTGCGTGCGTCTGTCGTGGCGCGTCTTCGTTGGTTGATATAATGGCCTATATCAACCAATTAGGAACTACTTGGAAGTGCTACAGAATATTGTCCTTATGACAATATTCTGAGAATATAACTCTTATAGTTATATTCTATTAACAATTTCTTATAAATTGTTATGTAACGATTCACCCCGTTACATCACCCCCCTTAACCATCAGTCACTTTAGTGACTGATTGACTAAATGGATACTCGTCCCAAATCATTTGGGACGGGGTTTGCACTTGTTGGTCCGCGTCCACTTTCCAACATCTCATCGCATGGTAAACAAGCCCATGCGATGCGCGAGCAAGGCCGCCGAGAGCGCGTCTGCACGTCTCTGTGCGGACGCCGAAGCAGAAACTACAGCAACTGATGTCCCATCGGTTGCTGAATCGACTCAGCCTGTATCACCTGGTGATGCAGGCGCTGGTCATGAAGACACTCGTGTCTTCACAGAGTACGAGCTCGGTGTCTCGTACTCTCCTGATACGGATGACGGATCCGTATCGACGGCAATTGAATCCAAGCCGCCTGCCAAGCGTGGCATGGACGATGCTTTGCGTCGCAGCATCTTTGGTTCATCTGATGAGTCAGATGAACCATCGCCGAAGCGAAGGCGCTCGAGGTCGCGAGACTCGGGCGCTAATAGTGGTGTCGTTTCTCCAATGGAAACCACTTCACAGCGAGGTGCCAGTACTTCTGTCGGCACGTCGCAGGAAGAGCGGGACCGCAATGTGTTGCGTCTCGCTCCAGAAAAGAAGGCATGGATGCCTCCTAAATCTGTCATGGATCACTTGTCGGCGACGACGAGTGATCGTTATCGAACACGATTGTTCGATTCGTCGAGGATTCATCACCTTGACCCCAGCGCGAAAGACTATCGCGCTGAACATGAGTTCTTCATCGATGCTTTCTTCAGACATCGATGGTACAGTGGGAATCACAAACGTGATGGTCCCTCACTACTTCAGGCGTGGAACGCCTACATCCATAATCTCGAGGATGTAGGTCGTGACGCTTGGAACGACAAACTTATCAAAGCTCGTGATAAGTTTGAAAAGCGAACCCCGACAGGTGCACGCTATAAGCTGCATCGTCTGTCAAGGGAGAAAGGATTACCCTGCCTCTCTTGGGGAGACTCGTGCCCATGTTGTGTGAACAACTCTGCACGAGCACCTGAGGAGGCTTACCTCCTTACCAGCCCGTGGTGGCGCGTACGTGTCTCTACTGAGATGTACGAAGGGATTGACAACCTGAAATCCCTTTACGACCGTGCCGGGAAGACTTTCTCCGGCGGTCCTTCTGCGGCACAGGATGTGTCGCGTCGTACTGCTCGACCAGACCCAGTACGTCAACCATCAATTGGGAGCGGGGCTCCCAAGAATCCCAGGACGGGGGATAGCCGCGCCACCGGACGAGGTAACTCGTCCGACGTCCGTTCACGTCGCGGTGGTTCAACAGCTGCTCTACTAGATAGCGCTGGCCACCGCGAGAGTCCTCTAATGGAGGTGGAGGAGGAGGAAAGACGCTCTCCACACGATCATGTGGATCGGTGTGTTCCCGAGAGCTTCTTTGATCTCGTAACGCAAGGGTTACGCGACGATCTCGAGCATGAGCGGAATAGGCGTCTCCGAATGGTGGACACTGCCTTGAAGCATCGAGCTGAGTTTGCCTTTGCTCAGCTTGAGAACGAGAGATCTCTGACATCTCTTCGTGACGAGCTAAGGGTAGCTCGTGGGATTGCTGATCGGTCTCGGGATGAGATAGCTGCTCTTCAGACCCTTGTTGATGCCCACCATCGGGAGCACAAGGCTCTCTGCGAGATGCTTGAGCGCAAGGGCGTTCTTCATCGGAAGAAGCAGCGTACTGATGGTACGGCTTAAGCCGACCAACGTAAAACGTGGGATGCGTTCGCATCTTACGTGGCAACTCGATCGTGTATGCGTTGCCTAGGCGATGCAATGCACGAAATGGGCCGATGTACTTGGATAGAAGTTTACTGCTACCCAAGTTAGTCACTACATGCTTTGGTAGATTAACCGTAGACAGTAGGACTAAGTCACCTTTATTAAATAAAAGAGTGTTTGCCCTTCCATTCTTGTCAGCGTTTTGCTTTTGCTTATCCACCGCTTCGGCGATGGAGTCTTGCACAAAACGGACTACCGTTTCACGAGCCAGTATGAACTCATCTGATGACTCGTTAGCTTCAGTGTGCTGTGAGCGCACTGCAGCGACAACAACCTTTTCTTCAGTGAGGGCTTCCGCACTCTCACTGGGATCATTGTCTTCAGTGAGGGCTTCCGCACTCTCACTGGCATCATCTTCTTCGATATCGATGTTATCGATATCGGCATCAAACGCAATGACTTCTTCGTCAGAGCGTGATGAGCGTGAACCAAATCGGTTTTTGCTCGCGCGAGTCCCTCCCCCCTTAAACCAGAGTTACACTCTAGTAAGGTGGGTACACGCGGATGGCGCAAGCCATTCACGTAAAACGGTGTATGTGTCGTGGACGCATGCACCGAGTTGTTGATGGCAAACTCTACCATCGGCAAAAACTCACTCCAACTCTTAAAGGAGTGTACGTATCCTCGAAGTATCTCTTCAAGGACACGATTGGCACGTTCCGTCTGACCATCTGACTCTGGATGATCAGATGTTGACATCTTCAAGCGCGTTCCGAGTGATTTGAACACGGAACGCCAGAAATCAGCAGTGAATCGTGGATCTCTGTCTGATACGAGTTCACGGGGCAACCCATGAAGTCGGAAGATGGTGTCAATAAAGACACAAGCACAGCCACTTGCCGTGATTGTCTCTGGTACAGCCACGAGGTGTACCATTTTGCTGAATCTGTCAACAAATACGAGAATACCCGTATTCCCGCGTGCGTCTTTGGGTAGCCCGAAGACAAAATCCATTGAGATGGATTCCCAGCACTCAGCCGGAACCGGTAGAGGCTGTAAAGGTGCACGCAGTGAAGGACTTGACTTCACTCGTTGACAGGCTTCGCATGCGCGAACATACTTTCGCACAAACTGATACTGGCGGGGCCAGTAAAAGTCTCGACTCACCGTGAGATATGTTTTCTCCCGGTCCCGATGTCCTCCTATAGGAGCATCGTGATACTCGAACATGATCCGCAAACGCAGATCAGTATCATCTGGAATGACAACACGTGGTGTGTCCCCAGAAACGGCTGTATAATACAGTAAACCGTTACGAGTAGTGTATCGATCTGATGCAGATCGATACGCAGACGACAATCGTTTCAACGATTCTCGAGATGGTTGGGAGAGATGTGACAACAACTTCACTATCTCACCATCTTGGGCGTATGCCCGCCTCACATCATCATACAACGTTGTAGATGGAACTGAGGACGTCATAACCGCAACAGTGACTGTCTCACTGTTGGGTTTCGCGACTGTTTCAAAGTCGGGACGACGTGAGAGCGCATCAGCGACGACATTAAGTCGTCCTGGTTTGTACTCGACCGTAAAGTTGTATTCTGCAAAGAATGACAACCACCGCGCCATTCGTTGTGAAAGGTGCGGGCTGTTCACTGCCGTGCGTAAGGACGCATGGTCAGTGTAAACAACGAAGGGTCTATCTCCTAATAGATAGACTCTGAACTTCGCGAGTGCATACTTCATGGCAAGGAGTTCCTTGTCATGCACTGGATAGTTCCGCTCAGCTGGTTGCAGCTGACGCGACTGATAGCAGACGACGCGTTCAACGCCTTCAAGGTCGTACTGCATTAATGCACAGCCGATTGCGAAATCGCTGGCATCACAGACCACATGGAATGGCCTGTCCTGATCGGCTATTGCT